TGTGTGTGTGTGTGTGTGTGTGTGCATTAGGAAGTCCAATTGTAATCCTGACCTAATAGTGCTGAGCACGCAGGCATCCACCGTTGACTCCTCCCATTTGGAGGCAAAGAAGGCTAGGCGACCTCTGATGGGTGGGGAGAACGAGGGATTACTTAGAGCGATGGCAGGAACGACCCCCACCCTCCCAAAAGGGCTGTTTACCAGTATAAGGAGCTGGGCGATAGTCGCCTCTCTTCCCAGAGGAAGAGAGAATTTTACGTTTATCTCTGGTTTGGATGAGATAAGGTTCCAGAGCATCGCCAAAAAGCTTATCGCCCGCGAATGGAACTGAAACCAGCTTCCATTTACAGCATGACTCCGCCTGCCAATTTCTGAGCCATAACAGTCTTCTTGCTGCTACTGAAGATGCCATGGCCCTAGATGCAAATTTGGCAGAATTGAGAGTGGCATCTGCAGTGAATTCCGCCGCTGCGATAATCTTATTAAGGCTTTGGTGAGACCGAAGGTCAGATGGAGACAATCTAATCTGGAGTTGGTGCAGCCACTGTATGGATGCCCACGTGAGAGTGGGAACGAGGGAACGAGGCCAGAACCGGAATGTCAACAGAAGGCACTGCCAGGGAATTTTCCAATGCTGCGCTGACGTTGTAGAAATGCTTAACCAGAGAAGATGGGCGAGGACCTACCGAAGGGGAAGCGCACTGTTCCTTGACCATGTCCAGGAACAAAGTGGGAGAAAGCAAAACCCCTGCACGCACTACAGGCTTGGAGAAGAATGAGTCTCCCTGGCTAGAGGGAATTCCTTGTGGCTCGGGAGCCACTTCCTCTGGCGATAGGTTGGCACTGACCAAGGCCATGCTGAGTAATGGCCTGAAGAGAGAAGGATTGAAGACCAATGCAGAGGATGTCTGCTCTGGGCGAGAGTCCTCTTCCTCTGAAGATTTTGGTCAAAGGTTTCACCCTCTTCACGTTCTGAACGAGAGGAGTAACTGTGTTCAGATGGTGAAGCCCTTCCCTCATCAACTTTCTCCCATTCTGGTAGAGAAGAATGGACCCTGAGGTCCTGGGGCCTGTGTAAATCAGGGTGATGAGGCAACTTATAGATTGAGAAGGGAGAAGGGCCTGAATCCTTTCCAGAGGTCGAAGGATTTGCTTGAAGCCTTCAGCCAATCCCTGCCCAATGGCTTCAGGCCTAGATTGAGAAGAGGTTCGAGGCCTAGAGGGAGGGGGAGGAGCATAGGGCCCAGAAGCCTGTTGGAAATAAGGCCCAGATCTGCTTAGATCCTGAGGATCATTGTACTGCAAAAGCCTCAGGAGACAGGCTCATAGATAACTTCTCCTCCCCTGGGAGGGCTTGGCTGGGGCCCACAGGTATCACCTGAAACATGCTGTAGTTGCACTCCCTTCTGTTGAATAGTTCTATTGAACTGCCTCTCTAGGACTCCATGTCTGCATTTTTCTGCCCTCGACTCAGCCTGAGTTGCCTTCTTAGGGGCTAGAGTCTTAGCTCTGATTTTAGCAGCCACCTCCCTCTGGACTGATTGGGTGTGTTGCCAACAACTTTTTCTCTTATTGGCTTAAGAGACTGTTCCACTGGGGGGGGGGGACTCTGCCTGACCCTTATCTTGCTCCATTTGAAGAATAAAGGCTCTTACAATGGAAAGAAACTGTTTGTAAAATGTTTGTATTAAGCCCCTTAGGGTATAAATGGGCCCCAGGGCTTACAAAATGGCCACTCACCTCGTGGTGGAAGGCTTCAATCCAAGATGGCTGCTGACTATGGGAAACAGGCTCTGAGATTGAAGAATTTCTCCTTAGGCTACAAAAAAGCCCCGAGTGAAGTCAGCAAAGGAAAGGGCAGCCTCTGGCCACACGATCAGCTGGCTGACGCTGTGATCGGTTTGCCGATCGCTTTTTACGACCGTTCAAACCGCAGGCGTGGGGGAGGTCTACAGACACTGCCCAACTTGCCTGAACAGAGCTCTGGCAACGCTGCTCCTAATGCTGCAGGAGAGAGAGCGAGCCCTGCTCTCCTGGAAGAGCAGCTGCCCAGATCCTGGGAGCTGCTGAAGCGAAGAAAAAAGGTACTGAAGATCGCTGGTGAGTGCTATCTACAGAACCTCAGCTGGCTGACGCTGTTATCGGTTTGCCAATTGCTTTTTACAACCGCTCAAACCGCAGGCGTGGGGGAGGTCTACAGACGCTGCCCAATTGGCCTGAACAGCGCTCTGGCAACGCTGCTCCCAACCTTGCTTAAAACGAGGGAAAACGGCACTGAAGATCGCTGGTGAGTGTTATCTAACAGAAGCTTTCAGAGACACAGCTACTGACTGAAAGGAGCTGAGTCAAAAGCTGGGGTCTCTTCCGGGGGCTGGCTTTTATATCTTAGTACAGACTCAGCTAAATGACGTCATAGGAAGGAGTCAACCCATCCTGGGCTCTCGATGCAGCATGGAGGAGAATTAAGAAATACAAGAGGACATAAGCAAAAAAAAAAAAAAAAAACTATTTAAAAAAAAATATTTAATTGCTGGCAAAATTGGCTAAGATATCACCCAAAATGATGACTAATCAAAAAAACAACTGCCTAGCATTACATGAATTTGTCTTAATGCTTAGAATTGTACTTGATTTAGCATATAGCAGAAACAAACAGAGTATTATGATCAGTTGTGGGATTCAAATAATTTAACAACCGGTTCTCTGCCCTAATGATTTCTTCCAACCACCAGTTCACCAAACTGCTCAGAAACTTAACCGGTTCTCCCGAAGTGGTGCGAACTGGCTGAATCCCACCACTGATTACGGTGTTGGTAGAAAACATCTAATCCCATTTGATTCATCAGCAATATAGCCACCTAAGACAGTCACTCAAAGTGTCTTGCTACATTGGCAAATATGTGCGTGTGTGTGCTGTTTCAGATATACAACCCTCATGGTAACTGGAAACATATTACTGAGACTCTCTGGACAAAGTATTAATGCAATCTTCTTTTAAAAAATGAAAAACAGTTTCAAAGCAACCACAAACTGCTTATAGATAAAAGCTTTGTGTAGTAAGGAACTGTTTATATTCAAGTATAGTAATAGATAAAAGGCTTTCTATTTCTTTTCATTATAGCAATCAAACCTTTTCTCTGAAATTAAACTATTTGTTCAGCAAATAACAGTTTTTTCTGCAATCAACACCCACTTATTCTGAATGGGCTCTTTCCTTTGGCTTATCTTTTCACTCTAATTTGTCCTCTCTCCTCCTCCTCCTCAACCACCTCCTTCTCCTCCCCGAATACCTTGCCACTTCATTTCCTTAGTTAGTTTCCCAGTGTACAGATAGTCCTCAACTTATGATCCCAATTGAGCCCTACATTTATGTTGTCAATTGAGACACTTGTGAGTTTTCTCTAAGTGAATTTTGCCCCATTTTACAACCTTTCTTGCTACATTTGGTAAGTGAATCACTGCACTTTAGTAACACAGTTAAATGAATCTGCCTTCCCCACTGACTTTGCTTGTCAGAAGGTTGCAAAAGGGGATCACAGGACACTGCAATCATCAGTGGACTGCCTGTATGTCTTCACCATTTCATTCCCCTTGCCTTTTCCTTTATCTGCTATTTTTCCAATCTCAGTGATTTGTTTTTCTTGCTGTTCTTTCATGCCTTTGTTGTAGCTTCCATCCCCTTTTGTAAATGCAAACATGGGAATCTAGGTGTCATCTTTACATTTGGAAGTAGCTTTTTATTTTGCAGTTAGCACTTACGGCTGGCCAGAGATGGAAATGGGAGAAGCATAGCACAGGCATCTCGTTTTTTTACCTTGCTGCACCTCTCTTATAGCCTACTACCAAGATACCAGGGTTTTACAAATCTCATGCTCATAGATACAACTTTAAAGCAGCCGGAGAATACAGCAAAGGAGAGGAAATCTTACAATCAAGGACAGTAAGAACTTCCTCACAAAATGTATTGGTCAAGAGAATGTGCTTTTAAGAAATATTAACAGCAATAGACACAATTCAGAATTCAGTGAGATCTAAGCTCTTAACAAAAACATGAATTTTAAACAATGCATGTGTTTGTGATCAGGGAAAGGTCAATCTTAGCTGAGCTCCATTTGAGAGTCTTAATCTGTTATTTCTAGTATGAAGCTTACTTGAATATTCTACTTGTACTATCAAAGAGCTTTGCACTGTATATTTGCAAGAGAAAAGTTGCTGGAATCCTTGCAAAATGCAACTCCTGTTAATTGAGACTAAAAATAGGTCCTCATGTGTCTCATCACTCCCACTTTAATTAATCCCACAAAGGAGTGGGATTTTGTTAAAATCAGTAAGTCTTCTTCCCATTTACATATCAGGCAACTCTTAGTAGAAACTCTAGGTCTATTAAGGAAATTTATGAACTGGGTGAAAATACTTTGTATTCAATTATTATATATCATTTTTGTTTTATATGTAATTATGTTAGTATTTTAATCCCCTCCATTCCTGTTGTGCACTACTGATAAGAGTTGAAGAACCAGGTTATCAGATCATCATGATTTATGTGATTGCCAAGAGTTTAAAACAACTTGATGCCACCTTACCAATTAATCAATCACCATTCATTGTCACACATAAGCATGCAACCACATATAATCAAGAACCTTAATATAGATGTTTAGGTTTACACACATTTATGCACTGGATGAAGGAGATGGTGAGGCTGAGACCGAGGGAAGGGTCAAGCACATCATCAGTCTCAAGTTCCTTTGCACCCACAAAAGATCTAAATCCAGCCTACCTTGATTTCTATTTATTCTTATCTACCTATTTGACCATTAGTAGTTCAGATTGTTGAATGTCAGCATGTAATAAACCTGTGTTCATTTGAACCACCTTGACTCCTGATTTCCTGAGTTTAACATTGCATTAAAGATCTACTAATACATCCAGATCCTTTTCAGATGTGCTCCTGAGCCAGATTTGTACATGCATTTTCTTACCTAAATCCATAACTTTATACTTCTCCCTGATAAATTTCATTCTATTTGTTTCTGCCTGCTGTTTTTAATCTACCTGATTTTTTTCTCCTCTCCTACAAAGTATTGGCCACTCCTTGTAACTCTGTATTATCCGCTACTGAAACAAAATTATCAATACAGACACTAAACTAGTATACAGTACTAGTATGAACCAATATTACATATATCTGATATCCTAGTTCATTAAATAACCCATATACTAGTTCACTGCAAAAGCTCTACAGTCTTTGAGTTACAACCATAATGGAGCCTGCTTATCATGATTGTAACTGGTGACAGGCATAAAATGGGTCAGTCATATGTCTGATTTCATTTTATGACTTTTTTTCTGGCTGTTGCTAAGTGAATGCCACGGTTGTTAAGTAAACCCATGGTTTGCTAGGAAGTGTTTTACTGAAAACTGAAAGTAAACACATGGTTTCAACAAAACCATCATAAAACACAGTCACATCACCACAGCTATAAATGTGGCCGTTTGCTGAGTGTCGAGTGTGGTTACACAATTGGGAGAGATAACAATTGCAATTTTGAATCTGGGTTGTAAGTACCCCCCTGTAGATCTGTCAGAACTTTGAATGGTCCATTAAGCAACTTGTCATAAATCAAGGATTACCTATAGTGTAGATCAGGAGTGTCAAATCCGATCGCATTGCAGGCCATATTGTGACGTATCAGGATTGGTTTTACCCTTGTGGGCGTTGCCTGCATGGGCTGTATTTAGCCCGCAAGCTAAATGTTTACATGCCTGGTATATATGAACATAATATTATCAGAATGAATATTGTACATGATTTCAAGGTTTTAAATGAAGCCAGTCAGATATCTGACAAAAAGCTCAAAAACTTCTCTGAAATGGTAATATAATCAGAGTAGATTTCATGCTGTATAATTGTATTTGTCTATTCCATCTAATCTGAAGAAAAGAATGTCAATCCAAAACCCACCAATGGATCTAATATGCTGTTACCATAATTCTGTAATCAAATTATTGCTTTTGATCAGAGATAGGCAAAACACATAATCCAAGCAACTGCTAGCAAAATGTATTGTAGAGGAATGCAAGCATGAATTATGTCTGAAGAGGGTAAGAGAATCTTACCCAAGGTATTAGCCAGTCTGAGAATTTGTGGGGAGATGCTAAAACAAAAGGGATATTTTATTCTAGAGATCTAGTTATATGGTTCTTGAAAAGTTATATTCTACAGTGAGAAACCACCATATAAATTTGCTCTTCAATAAATGTTTTCTGGCTGGCCACCTCTACGCAAGCCATTTGGTGAGTCTCCAAATGTGAGACCAGTTGTATCAAGAATAAAATTGAGTTTATCTTTGGCTTATTAAAACATTTTTGATACATTTCCAACAATTCAGGATTATAGCACACAGCATTATTGTAGTTTGCAGCTTTCACACTACTACTGGTGATTTGTTTATTTACAGTATTTTTATCTTGCTTGTCTGTAAAGCTTTCAAGTTATTCAATAAATTCTGTAGACAAAGACATGGTTTTTATGCAGCCAATCATATCTACGAATAAATCAGAATCTGATTAACTTTTGCATAAATAGTTTAGAAAATTGTTAAAAGAATTCAGACAGTTGATACCATTTTAACTACTGTACATTATTAGCTATTGTTAAATATATAGAACTGGCTGTATTATGCAAATCCTCAACATTTCTATGCTGGTCTCATTTTACTTTTTTGCCTTTAAATAAGCTGATTCCCTAAAATCTAACTATAGAAAGGATTGATTCAAAACTATTTTTTAGATGAAATTCACACTCACATGCCCTTGATTAAAGATTATTTCTGATAAAAATGTATCAATTATTGTAAGTGAGCATTTTGGGGAGATGCCTGGCTATTTGAGAGAAATATTTGATCCCAAAGTGATTTAAAAAAAATCTTTCTGTAAAACACAGAGCAACAGTTCTAGTACTAGAGCCAATATGTTATCTTAATAAAAGATGCAATTGTCTAAAGCTATCTAAACACATTTGTCATATGCACAATAGCTCTCTGTTAGAGCTCATGTACCATTTCATCTCTGCTTTGTTGAAATATCAGCTTTACTAGTTCAGTTTTCTTTTCAAATTTGGATTTCTATCTAAGCTGTTTTTTTTTCCAATTAAAGAACTTCGGTTTTTCAAAGTGCAACATATTGTCAGAATACAATACGTTTTGCTGTTGTGTTAATGGTGACATTGTGTGCTTGCAACAGATGGTATGATTGAATCGAATATAGGAAAAATATACCAAACGAATTGACATTTTGGTTAGCAGATTTTTGAGCAAATTGTTCCAAATAATTATCACCCAATGCAGGTCAGCAGTATAATTCAATAATTTTAATACAGCAAAGTTCTAATTAGCTAAAATCAAGTCCTTGCGTCCAAGGTATAACAGCTGCAATAGAGGGATTAGACACATTTTATTGCTGCAAGTAACATATTAAGGTCTCATTGCAAAAGAGCAAACCTTATGTCTCCACCTGCAGCTCAGAACTGATAATGTGCCAGTGCAAGCAGTGTGTGATCGGAGCTGCCGTCTCTCTATAAATACTGGTGGTGGGGGCTGGTGTGCTGGGCTGGTTGGCTGCGCTGCTGCCTCTTGATTGGTTGATGGAGTTGATGTTGGTATAATGGGCTGTGTGATGGCCTTGTGAGTTTTGTTGTGGAGATATCCTGGATCTTGTGCTGCAATCTGCTGGGTCGTTTGTTTTCTAGTGATCTTTTTTCCATTAGCCTCCCGTGTTTTAATGGCTTGGGTAATGGGTTGTGTGATGGCCTTTCAAGTTCTTTTGTTGTGGTATCCTGGGTCCTACGTTGTAATCTCCTGGGTCGTTTGTGCTTTGATCTCTTTTCCATTAGCCTCCTGTGTTGTAATGGCTTGGGTAATGGGTTGTGTGATGACTTTGTGAGACTTATTGCTGTGGTATCCTGGGTCTCATGCTGTGATTTCCTGGGTCGTTTGCTGTGTTGCAACTTCTTGAGTTCTTGTGGTGTAATTTCCTGAATTTTCTGATGTGATATCCTGAGCGGGTGGCTGTGATGTAGCATTCTGGGTTTTGGTCTGGCTTCGAGTTTGGGGTCTAGGTCTGTGTTCTTGGCGTGTGTCAGCTTGTTTAGTTTTGGGGTCGGGGGTGCGACAGCTGGCAAAACAGCCGTGGTCTGGTTTCTGGACAGTGGTTTCCTTCGTTTATAGGATGGGTTTGGGCCTGGGTCTGATGAGGGGGATTGGTGGTGGTGTCCCATGTAGTTTTGGGTCTGGTGTTGGTTTTCGTGGCTGGGACTCGTTTGTTGGTGAGGGCTAGTTTCCAGATGTCTGGTAGGCGGGAGGTATCATCCCGTTTATTCATGTTATAGGGGTGTTTCTCTATTTCGATGCCTTCCCTGATTATTCTCTTGCTGGAGTGTTCAGTGTTGGATATTAATTTGGTTCCTTTGAAATTAATTTCATGTCCTGTGGTTTTAAGGTGCTGGAAGAGGGGGGAAGTGTTTTCTTCTTTTCTGACTGTGTTTTTGTGTTCTGCAATGCGTGCATTTATTCTCCTGTTGGTTTGTCCAATGTACGTGGCTGGGAAATTGTTGCATGGTATTTCATAAACTCCTTAGTATTCTAGCTGGATCTTGTCTTTGGGGTTTCTTAGGATGTTGCCTATTTTTTGGTCAGTGCCAAAGGCTGTCCTGATATTGTCTTTGTGGAGAATTTTGCTGATTTTGTCTGTGGTGCCTTTGATGTAGGGGAGGAGTGTGATACCGTTGTCTTGTTCTGTGTCTTGGTTTTTTGGTAATTGTATTTCTTTGGAATCCGTTGGAAATTAATACGTTAGTGAGGGTGTGTAGTTCTGTTCTCAGGTGGTCTTTGTCAGCTAGGCGTTTGGTCCTGGAGATGAGAGTCTTGGCTACGGAGTTGATCTGTGCAGGGTGGTGATGGGATTGTGCATTTAGGTAGTGGTTGATGTGTGTTTTTTTCCGGTAGTTGCACCCCCCGACCCCAAAACTAAACAAGCTGACACACGCCAAGAACACAGACCCAGACCCCAAACTCGAAGCTGGACCAAAACCCAGAATGCTACATCACAGCCACCCACTCAGGATATCACATCAGAAAACTCAGGTAATTACACCACAAGAACTCAAGAAGTTGCAACACAGCAAATGACCCAGAAAATCACAGCACAAGACCCAGGATACCACAACAAAAGAACTCGAAAGGCCATCACACAACCCTTTACCCAAGCCATTAAAACACGGGAGACTAATGGAAAAAAGATCACTACAAAACAAACGACCCAGGAGATTACAGCACAAGATCCAGGATATCTCCACAACAAAACTCACAAGGCCATCACACATTATACCAACATCAACTCCATCAACCAATCAAGAGGCAGCAGCGCAGCCAACCAGCCCAGCACACCAGCCCCCCAACCAGTATTTATAGAGAGACGGTAGCTCCGATCACACACTGCTTGCACTTGCACAAAGCCGAAAGCACCAGCCTGAGGATGGCGAGTGGGACCTCGCCAAAATGTCGCCAAGATACTCTTAATCTTACACGGGAAAAGACCCGAACACACCTAGACCTACATACCTGTACCTGTGAAAATCTACATATATGTATGTATGTATGTATATGTAATTACGCATTCCTAAGGTATTTCCCAACAAGTTTTAAACTAAATGCCAATATATATTCCATGTGGTATCCCCCTTATAGAATCCCTAACCCTTGTCTCTGAATTTTTCGGCTTTATTATTTCTTTTAATTTCATCCAACTTTCCCTTTTCTAAATTTCCCTGATCTTCCTTCTTTCCTTCTAACATTTCACCCATCTTCTCCCCTCCCCCTTTCCTGTTCTCTTTTTAGAAGTTTCTTCTTGTATAATTTTTTCTTCTTTTGTTTAATCCTGGGAGCGTTTTCTCTTTTATTTATTGACTCTGTCATCAATGTCATCCTTTGGTGTCTTTTGGCAGTGTTTCTTGTTATCCATGTCTATCTGAGCCTCTTTCTTCTTCCTTTAACTCCGCCTCACTGGAATTTCTTTGTTCTTCTGCCATCGCCATTATTTTCTTTTCCAATAATTCCCTTCTTTCTTTCAGCATTCCTCTTATAGTTTGTAATTCCAACTAATAATATTTGCTTATTTCTTCCATTTTTTATAATCAGTTAAGTTATTAATATTCAAAGTATTTTATTGAAATCCTTACCCAAAGTCTTTTATCTTTATTTCTCTTGTTAATCCTTCTGTCTCTTTCACAATCAATGCCCAACGGGAAATTGCATTTGTATATCCTCTTAGTAGAGTTTCTCCCTCTTTTTTAAAAAAAATTTCCAGGGTTCTTATTATTTTACCTTTTGTTTCATAACAGTTATGAGCCCAATAATTTTCCATAAGATTTTGTAGGAAAAAAAGTATTTGACCATTAGATGGCGCTCTGTATCACTTTCCACTTTTCAAAGTTCTTTTCTCTTTTAATCATGTTAAACATTAATTTCCAACCATTTCCACGATTAATTTTCTTAATAAAAACCAATTCCAGGTAAGTCCAGCATTTTATCCAATGCCTAATTAATGCCAATTTATATTATTCAAAATTTAGTCTCTAATTTCATTGTAACTTTTTATACTCCAATTTTGTTCAACTTGTATTTTCCTCTTATTTTCTGTTCGCCGCTGTGATACTCTTGAGCGAGGGCACTTTCTTTCTACTTCTCGGGGTTCTTAAGAAAACATTCAGTATCTGGTTACACATTGCTCACCACTTCACTGCTCCAGCACAAAACTTAGGGTCCCAGCAGCTTTCCGTCTTCAGGACAGCCATTTTAGACTGCCGTTTCTCCCTGTCTTCCAAGGGAGTAATACCTAGCTAGGGAGGGGAGATGTGGTCCCCCTCGATCCAGCTGGCGGTCTCCCCCTCTTCGTCCACCACTCCAAGGTGGGTCAGATGACTCCGGTCCTGTAGGGACCCTTCCGACAAGGTAAACACGGATCAAAGCCATGCACGATCGCGGTATCTGATCCGTTGTCAATGGAACCACCACCGGAAGTCTAGAACTGGTTGTTATGATTCTGTGCATTTCGGTGACCAGCAAATCGCGCCACTGGCTGCTCCCGCCCTTCCCTGCCCACTCACTCCTTACCTGGTATGCGCACTATCCAACCTGCCTGCATTGTGCCTTCGCAGCTTTTGGTAAGTTGTTATTTTTCCTTTTTTCCCCCAACCATCAGCTCTTCTGACTATCAGCTGTGCCAGGATGTTTAGATTAGCTAGAAAGCAGGAAATCGTTGAATTTCTTGTTTTCTAGCTAATCTAAAAGAAGAGCTGAACCTTCCCTAGGACTGAAGCTTCTATTTTTCAGTGCAGACTCAGGTAGCAGATTACAGAAAGGTAGATCTCTGAGTGAATCTGTGATTTTGTGAGCAACTCAATCTGCCTGCCTGCTTTGCTTGATTTTGGGTAAAAGTTGCTCTTTTTTAATAAAATATTAAATATTTACATAAATATTTACAACATTTACATACAAGCCATGTCCACCCAGTCATGTGAGCACCAAGCCACACCCAGTCAGCAAGCCATGCCCACCCAGTCACATGACCACCAAGCCACACCCAAAATTAGGCCATGCCCACAGAACCAGTTGTTAAGAAATTTGAATCCCACCCCTATATTAACATATTTAATAGATACACCTTCATCTTGCATGGCAACTGCCCAAATATATATAAAAGGGGGAAAGGTTAAGTGAAGATTTAGGTTCATTTTAATACTCTTTAAAATGGGCGTTGGTTCTTACCTGATACGCCCCTTCTCGGCGAGCCGCGAGGAGCATCCAGAGACTGGGATGTGCTTCTGAGTCCTCTTCTTGCAGGCTGAGCTTTAGATGAGGAAACGCTCCGCCCCCTCACGTGGTATCGCGCAGCGTCTCCCCAGTTTTTTGCGATAACGAGAAGAGAGGTTATTAATTCTATCTAATCTACTATTGGCTCCTTGGCTGAAGCAAGATTCCCCACCAGACGGAGAAATTAGGGTGGGGCTGGATGCTCCTCGCGGCTCGCCGAGAAGGGGCGTATCAGGTAAGAACCAACGCCCATTCTCCCTCGAGCCGCTCGGAGCATCCAGAGACTGGGACATACCAAAGCTGGGCTGTCCTACGGGTGGGACTCCGTCTGGCCCGAAGGCCCCTCCGGATCACTGATGACCCTCTGTAAGACCCGTCGGCCAAAAGAGGCCTCCGCTGAGGCGTACGTATCTATTTTATAATGTCTGATAAACGGGGACGGAGAGGTCCAGGTGGCTGCCCGACAAATGTCAGCGATGGGGGCTTGCGTGGCCCAGGCCGCCGAGGTGGCTGCACTTCTGGTGGAATGGGCGGTTATTCCACCCGGAGCGGGCAGAGAATGGGAAAGGTAGCACCTCGCAATAGTAGCCCTGATCCAGCGACTGATGGTGGAAGGAGAAACCTTAAGCCCCAGTGACCTGGGTTGAAAGGATAGGAAGAGGGATTCCGACCTTCGCATGGGTTGAGTGCGCTTAATATATATACGCAAGGCCCTTCTAACATCTAGGGTGTGCCAGAGGACCTCCCTGCCCCTGGAGGGCCTAGGGCAAAAATTTGGTAGAACCAGTTCCTGTGACCTATGGAAGGGAGAGTTAACTTTGGGTAGGAATGTGGGGTCAGGACGAAGGACCACCCGATCAGCGTGGAATACACATAGATCGCTCCTAACTGACAAAGCTGCTATTTCCGAAACTCGACGAGCAGAAGTAATAGCTACTAGAAAAACTACCTTAAAGGTGAGAAACTGAAGGGATGAATCTCTCAAGGGTTCGAACGGGGAACGTGTGAGAGAAACGAGGACCTTGTTGAGGTCCCATGTGGGGAACCTGTGAACAGTGGGAGGGCACAGGTTGGTGGCGCCCCTAAGGAAAGATCTAATTCGGGGGTGATGAGAAAGGGAACCGTAGTTATCACAGGAGACCACGGTTGAGAGGGCAGAAACTTGTCGTCTCAGGGTGTTAGGTGCGAGGCCTTTACGGAGGCCTTCCTGAAGAAAATCTAGGATCTGAGCCACTGAGGGAGAGAGGGGATCAATCTGAGACCCGCTACACCACTTGCAGAACCCTTTCCAAGTGGCATCGTAAATTCGTGTAGTGGAAGGTCGCCTAGCGGCCAAAATAGTGTCGATGACTTGACTCGAGAGATTCTCACTAGTCAGACGGATCCGCTCAACCTCCAGACGGCTAACTGGAGCCATTGAGGCTCCGGATGCAGAAGGGGCCCCTGAGAGAGGGAGACCCTGTCCGGGGGGATCCTCCATGGGGGCGCTACCGATAAATTGCGGAGATCCGCAAACCACGGTCGCCTGGGCCAATAGGGAGCCACCAGGAGAAGGTCTGCCCTCTCCTGAAGAAGTTTCTGTATTACTCTGGGAACTAACGGGAGCGGAGGGAAGGCATATAGGAGCCCTGGGGGCCATGGGCAGCGCAGAGCATTGTGATTCTCCGACCGGTGAGATGGATACCGGGAGAAGAACCGTGGAAGCTGAGTGTTGGACGGGGAGGCGAAGAGATCCACCACCGGAAGGCCGAATATTCTGGACGCTTCCTCGAACAGGGATGGATGGAGACGCCATTCTGCCTGGTCCACCGTGGCCCTGCTCAGCCAGTCCGCCTGAGTATTGTCTACTCCGGAGATGTGTTCGGCCTTTAGTGATAGGAGGTTGGATTCTGCCCAGCGGCAAAGGCGCTCGGCTTCCCTCATTAGCTGGATGGACTGGGTGCCGCCTTGCCTGTTGATATGGGCCTTGGCCGTGACGTTGTCCGTGAGAACGAGGACGTGATGTTTGCGGATCTGAGGAAAACTGCGCAGGGCCAGATGGACAGCGTGAAGCTCTAGCCAATTGATGCTGCACCTTTGCTCGGACGGCGACCATCTGCCCTGAGCCGAGAGCGAGTCGAGATGAGCGCCCCAACCGGACAGGCTTGCGTCCGTAGTGACGGTGAGTCGTTGAGGTTCCGCGAAGAGATGGCCTCTGTTGATGGCGGGATTGGTCCACCATAGAAGAGACGTGAGGACCCTTGGAGGGACCCTGACTCTGGCCTTCGAGTTGCTTCTTCCGGATCGTTGGAATGGGAGCAGGAACCACTGGAGGGATCTGCTGTGTAGACGGGCCCAGGGAATAATAGAGATGCATGACACCATTTTGCCCAACAATTTAGAGAGGTCCAGTAAGGCCACCCTCCTTGAACGCCTGATCTGTTTGACCAGGGCCTGAATGCTAAGGAACCTCTCCTGGGAGAGGAAAACTCTTTGAGAAACCGAATCAATTATGGCGCCCAAGTGGTTGATTCGGGTGGAAGGGGTAAGTTGGCTCTTTTGCCAATTGACTAGGAACCCGTGTGCCTGTAAGGTGGAGAGAGTGACCCTGGTATCCCTGACTGCCTGGGATTTGGACGGGGATAGAATAAGGATATCGTCCAAGTAGCAGTGGAGGCGGACAGGAACGCTCCTGAGATGAGCCGCCAGAGCCGCCAGGACCTTGGTGAAGGTCCGGGGGGCCGAGGCCAGTCCAAAGGGAAGGGCCACGTATTGATAATGAAGGCTATTGTGACAGAACCTGAGGAATTTGAAATGGGAAGGCCTGATTGGAATATGGAGGTATGCCTCCGAAAGATCTATGGAAGATAACCAGTCTCCCCGCCTGGTGCCTAAAAGAATTGATTGCAAAGTGTGCATTTTGAATCTACGCTGGATAAGGTGACGGTTGAGCCGTTTCAAGTCCAGGATGGCTCTCCAACCCCCAGAGTGTTTGGGCACCACAAAGAGATGGGAGTAAAACCCCTTTCCTCTCTGATCCGGAGGGACAGGTTGAATGGCCTGGATGTCAAGAAGATGATGGATGGCTGCATCCATTAGTGCACGTTTGGAGGGATCCCTTGAGGAGGGGGAGGGGAAGAAACAATCAGGGGGAGCGGACCTGAACTCCAGGGCGAGGCCAAACCTGATTGTGTCCCTAACCCATGCATCGGAAGTGGATATGTCCCATTGGGCGGCGAAGTGGCTGAGGCGGCCGCCAACGGGGGGGGAGGAAGAGGCTCTACCTTCTGCGGTAGGGCCTTCCTCCCGATCCCCGAAAGGGTCTCTTGTAGCCGCCACCGCGTCTGGATCTGTCGCCCGGGTCCGTGCGGTCCTGGGATCGGAAGGAAGGGGGTCTAGGATATCTGGGCGGGAAGGGGGGTTGGTAGAAGGGGCGTGGAAAGCTCCTCCGAAAGGGCTGAGAGCCCCTGGCCTCCGACCTTCGAAAAAGGGAGGGCAAATACTTTCTCTTACTGCGGCCCTCGACTAGCAGTGGTTCCAAAGCTGGGCCAAACAGTTTATCTCCCGTAATGGGGGCAGTGGCCAGCTTGACCTTATTCTTTACGTCCGCCTGCCAGTGTTTGAGCCATAGCATGCGTCTAGCCGTGACATGCGACGTGATGGCCCTGGAAGAAAATTTTACCGACTGGTAAGTGGCGTCAGCCGAGAACTCGGCTGCAGCCACTAACTTCGCTATATCCTGGTGAGCTCTGAGATTGGAAGCAGGGATGTGGTCCTTGAGCTGACGTAGCCAGCGGATAGAGGACCTCGTGAAAAATGAGGCGGCCGTAGCTGACTTAATGGCCCAGGCGTCAGATAGGTGAGCCCTGCGTAGCGCCTGCTCCGCCCGCCTGTCCTCAGGTTTCAAGGCCTCAAGGGCCTCACTAGGGGTAGAGGAGGAGGCTAGACCCACAATGGGGTCATCGACCTCCGGGATATTCAGGAGGTTAGACAGAGCCGAATCGAGATTAAAGAATCTCTTGTCTTGGCTAGAGGGAGTGGGAGGGGTCCCTGAGGAGGTAAGTTGCTTCGCTACCAGATCTACGAAGATGGGAGGGGATGGGATGACCTCAGCTTCCACCACTGGTTGGGTGAAAATGGAGTCTTCCGGGCCCTCTGGGACAGGGGGGGTTTCTGCAGCGGACTGTGAAAGAAGGCCAGAGACATTCTTGGCCTTAAGGAGGAGGGACTTGAACATATGCGGTTTAAACAGCCCCCCAAAGGAGGGT